GGAGGCAACCAATCAATGTGTCTTTCTCATATCAATGTTTCTCTCTTTTTCTCTCTCCCCCCGCTCCCTCTCTTCCATTCTAAAAATCAATGGAAAAAATATCCTTGGATGAGTATTAACAGAAATTTTTTTTTAAAAAAAGGTTTTTATTGATTTTAGAGAGAGAGGAAGGGAGAGAAAGAAACATTGATGAGAGAACCATTGACCGGCTGCCTCCTGCACGCCCCCTACTGGGGATAAGCCTGCAGCCTGGGCATGTGCCTGACGGGGCATTGAACTGTGACCCTTCAGTGTATGGGGTGACGCAACCAACTCAGCCACGCCCGCCGAGCTTACCTAGTTTTTATTCAGAGGAAGAAGGAATGTGCTGTCTGGTGTGGGAATCTAGTTGTTTTCTAAAACTAATTTCACTAAACTATATTGGTCACAGTGTACTAGCCTCACACTATAGTTTCTTAAATAAACTTTATTTTCTCTTTTTCTTAAAAAAAACAAAACACCTAAATATATAATAGATTGGCTAATTTATTTCAATCAATTGGTTTAAAGCCTTTTCTCAAATTTGTTGGTTTTACCTCCTACTACCTTATATGCAATAGGCATTCAATAAATATTTGTTTTTAATTTATTTGAAAATAAGTTAGAGAGTACAGATTACAGTAATAAAACCTCACCTTTTCTTTGATGCTTCAAAGCTATGAAAAAGGGGGGAAAAGAGAAAGAAAACAATGCCAGCACCTCTGTGGCTGCCAGCTCTGTTTCCAAGGAAACCGAGAATAGATCATCAAAAACAAAATAAGGGTTTTCAAGCGGATTACCCTGTTTTCACCAGTTCAGTCTCCATCGCTGCTCAGTGAAGGCAGCATACCGTCAGCCTTGCAACTCAGATTCCCATTGTTTGTGCTGTCTCTCACTATTAAAACTAGGCCCCCCAAAATTAATTTTTTGGGTTGTATGTTAGTTTTCTTGTAGAGACAGTTAAATTTGTCCTCAAAGATAAAGAATACCTTTTAAATATAAAGCACTATGTACATTTGCTGAATAACCTAATATATTTTAACTTCAGAACCATCAAATATTTAAATTATTGAATCTCAGATTTAACTTACTTTCTTTGGAACACTATAAGAAAGTAATGGGAATATATAAGTAAAGGATAAAGACTTCTAGAATGAAGTGTTTTATTTAAAGAAATATGAAAGAGAGCAGGACAGGTTGAAAAAATATACAGGTGTCAAGGGGAAAAATAATTGGACTTTCATTCAATAGAACAAAATACCACTATAATGTTGTTCTTTGATCCATAGATTTGTTTCAACCAAGAGTAAATGATTCTG